GCGGGAAGCTCAAAGCAGAGAGATAGATAAAGTGTTGGAGAGAAGTGTGGTAGCGTTGTTGAATGGTTCGAACTAGAAAACGGGGGACCCTTTTTATACTGCAGCGAGCCCAGCTTTTTCACCTCCATTGAACTTGCCCGACGAACACATCGGATGATAGCCCATTCAGCGACTGACATATGTAAGGGAGGCGGTGGTGACACTGCAGATACCATGTGCGACAGCCGCTTCAGGACTGCTCGCTGGCGTTATGTGTGACTGACAGAAATCTGTCTGTGGGTGAAGTTAGTTCTGTCGGTGTCCACACTGAGTGGGGAGCATACCCATCGACTTGAGTAACAGGTGTATAGTTTTTTAGCCTGAAGGTTATCCATTCGACGCTGCGGCAATGGCCAATATCGTTATATTAACTGGTCTTGCTCAGGATACCTATTGCACTGTATGTTGACTGCACATTTACTCGCCTATCATTGTGTCGAAGGCAACTAGGATTACGACACATTTACGTTCAGTATTTCAGCATTCGCGCCCTCAACGCTCGTCGGGTAGCCAACCATGAAACGGCGGCGGAGACCCTGTGTTTCACGTCATTTCTCTCTAACAACCACGATGCAACAACGCACGGCAAACTTTGGCCCCACTTAGCCAACCAACCCTGAGGCATATATTTGGCCCCTTGGGGGAATCGACGACTGCTAAGATGGCGAGGGCGAAGCTAAACGTCCTAACGTGGTCCTTCACTGCCAGGCTAGATAGCAGCAGTCGAGGTTTGGCAAGGTTAATTCCGAGGTTGGGGGTCTGGACGCTAGTAACCACAAGAGACCAACGCCGAAGTTCATGGGGTAACATACCGATGAGTGGATATCGCAAGGGGAACTACCATGCAACACTGTACGTCACGTTGTTTTTGATGCGCGATTCCTCGGGCGTCGGGCGATCATGGGCGCGAAAACGCCAAACCATAACACAAGAGAAAAAAGAAAACGCTGTTGTTTAAATTTCCGGGTAGATACTAGCCCTTAAACCTTTCGCAACCCAAAAGTTGATACATAAAATCATCAAGGAAACGAGAGGGAGAGTCGCGACATTGAAAACCCCGCCCTGAAGTATGAGTCAGACAAATATAGTTACAGTAAAGATTACCGAAGGGTTAATCATGTCACAGGCTGCAACCGCAGGGCCTGATCGGACGATGAACGACCCGGTGAACGCGTTCAAGTCCGTCCAAGCAACCTCGCTCTCCCGACCCCTTGGCCCTTACCGCAGTAGGCGTATGACTGCATCAGATACCACCGGGGTCGTATGGCTCGAACATCCCAATGACGACAAAGCCCTGTTAGACCTCGGATCCGGAAGCGATACTGGTCGACAACAAGGGCGCTTAAATGGTAAATATAACGCGAGGCTCACGACGTTGACATTACGGTCACGGGTTCGCCTCTTTCTGTATTGATGGTCTGACCAAATACAGCGTGCATCTCCCCTTCTCTACCACGGGCGATTGAATATGAATACAGAAACTCCCGAGGCCTCAATCGAGGTACCTTCCTCCCAGGAAAAAGCTGTATGCCCCTGTAAGCATGCCTTGCCAACGTTTGGCCATCTGTAATCTAACGGGGCGAACATGACACTCGGCTTGGCCAGTTTCCGACTGTGACATACCGATAGACGTGGTATTCCAATCTTCCGATGGTGTCATGATCGGGGGACATTTGCAACTTTTCTCAACGTACAGCGAAGGATTTCCGTCCTCCGATGTCGCTCAAGCTCCCGATCCCAACTCTGAGCCAGTGCCCCTACCCGGGGAGGACTCGACAACACTCAAATTACTGTTCAAACTCATGCATAAACGAAGACACGCGGATTGTCACCTGGAAGCAAGGCAGATTGGGGAGATATTAAACCTGGCGGAGGCGGCAGAGAAGTATTTTGTATTCCATTTGATGGAGATTTGTCGATTTCTCATCGTCGTCAAGGAGAGGTATACTATGGGGTGACATTTCTCTACGAGCAGATCGTTGATTGCCTCTACATTTTATAGAACGTGGAAAGGATCGACCAATGCTGTAAAGGTTCTCGCGTATGCCACTAAGAACAACTATTGGGATATCGTGGATACAGCTGCACCTGGGACAGTCGGGTGTCCACCCACCGAATTCAAGAACTTAAGTGTCCAACTGGAGCTGGCCTGGGTGCGTCTCTGCTACCGCCTCACACACGATTAAGCATACTCAAGAAGCCTCAAGTTCCGATACAGACAAAAATGGCTCGACATTGCCGAGTTCGCGCTTACTCAGCCCCAGTACATCAACGCAAAGAAGAAGATCCATGAATGCAACGGTTCCATTGCTTATTTCGCGCACACATTTGCGGATCTTCCCCGCACTGCAAGCGCCGCTCTCGATCTTCTTGTGAAGGGATTACTCCCGGGAGTCTACTACGACCGTCACTCGGAATACATCGAAAACTGTTCGACTTGTCGAGACCTTGTAGCCGTATGGAAGAGCGGGATTCGAGCCAAGGTTGCAGCTATCCCCACATTTAAACAGTTTTACGTTTAGGAGAGAAAGGGCTCGTAAATAGTCGTGATGAAAAAGGAGTCATTGTGATAACAAGTTAAATACGATGTACAAGTCGCGATGCTAGGATTAGCGAATTTAAAAACGGGAGGATGAAGAAACGAATCGTAAGCTAAAACTTGAAGAGGAGTACGCTTCGCCGAGATCCGATATGATTTCCTGGGGTAATGTAATTGAGCTACACCTCACACTATCCAGGTAAAGGGAGATGTGGAATGGCGACCCAGACGATATTCCAACTGCATGCTCAGCCAGACTGGTGCTCCTTCTCTCAGCCACTTTCAAACACGTCAGGATATCCTCGGATGCCACAGGAACATATTTACCAAGGACCAGGTTCCGAAGTCGCGGGAGGAACAGAATCCAATTGTCCAGCCTTGCTAACAACTGGCGATGATAATTGCCTCCACCAGACGAGACGTCGAGCTTCAAGTCCTCCAAAACCACCAGATTAGAAAGCAGAGCCATGAAATCTTCAGGTTGAGCACCGACCCCGGAGAAACTGAGCAAGCGAACAGACCGGAGCTGTTCTGAAAGAGCTTCCACGTCTCCCAAAGGCATGTAACGCCGCAAATTCTGAAATCCAGCTTCTGCATAGACCTCCAGACGACGGAGCCTTTTGAAGTGGATGCCCTGCACCAGCGACGACAGCTGTCCGCCGCCGACATATTCGATCACGAGCTCCTCCAGATCGCTCATGTAGAATGGTGTTGCCAGTGTTGTGAATGGCGTCTGCACATCGAAGGGCGCCAGGTCGGGTTCGGAGGTAATGAGGAAGGACCCTGCCACCAAATTCGGGCAAAGGCGGATGAGGTCCATCCATCTCAGTTGAGGTAGAGGGCGTTTGGGATTGAGAGTGTCCAAGTGAGTCAGCTGGCGCCAGTTGACACTGATCGAGCGCGGTGACGGTGGTTCCAGGTCGAGGGACAACCGTTTCAGAGACTGGCACCCCTCGAACCCCGTGATGAACCGGTGGGGTGATCCCACAATCCCTCGCTGCACGATGCACAGTCGAAGTGAATGTAGGGAAGGCAAGCCGATATATGCTTCCATCGGGAAGAGGATGGACTTGAGCACATCCTTGACTGGCGCATCAATTTCCAAGCTCCGTATGCGGTTGGAGATACTAGAGATCGCATCCACAATCGAGGGGTGTATGGGATTGGAGGAGAAGATTGAGTATCTTGGTAGTAACGATAGGTGGACGGCGAGCGGGTGCGACCTCTCTAGCCAAAGCTGCAGAAGCTTTGCCTTGGGAGCGATGATGTCGAGCGGGGTTGAGTCGGTGTTAGGTGCGTATTGGAAGTTAATTTGATTCCAAAGTTGAGGGCATCCAATCGCAGTCGTGCGCCACAGCGAAGACACCTGAGTTATCGCTAACAGTGGAGACGACGATATCTCGGCCACCGTGGATGATGGGGTTGGCATTGGGCATTGCTTCGACGATTCCTTCGATGTGGAGCCTTCAAGAATGCTCCAAAGGAATATTTCTGATAGAATTTCGGCAGGCATATCTGGTCGATTTGACTTTTGCTGCTCCACTTCTGATAATATCTTTGCGACGAGCGTCCCTTGCGCACTGGTGTGCACCAAATCGGCGTGGACAAGCGCCAGCTTGCGCAGAAGAGAAGATATTTCAGATTCAATAACTTCTTTCTCTGCCAGCAGCGCCACTTCCTTCGAGGCCAGTTCTTCTTTGAGCCCGTCCAGAATCGATATTTCGTGATCGGAGGGCAGGATCTCGCCGCATTCTAGCAATCTTAGCCTGACAGGCTCTATTAACGGTTGGGGAGTCTGGGTGAAAACAGAAAGGTCAGAAAGTTTATCCTCATCAACAACGAAAAAATACGCTCGCCTTGATTGTGGACGCAGATTCGATAAAGGAGACAGATTCTATGGCGCCATTTCTTTCTTGAGTGATGATTTGTTGGCCGTCCTTGGTCGAAAGTCCTATGCGATATCCAGTCAAAACCTTATTCTTCGGCTAAGCTTGTTGATAACTTACGGAATGCTGGGGAGAGAGGAATTTGTCGATGATTCGTCCAAATTGGACCCTGGAAATCATTTCGTTTCAGAAGAGCACGTACCTATAGTGTCGCTTAAAGTTCCTGAGGCCATTGATGGTGGTTTGGTTGTATGGAAAAGAAAAGCACCAAAGCAGAAATAAAGCAGAAACTGAAATGTGTGTGGGGTGCCCGGTGGCACTGGTAAGTGCCGGAAATGTTCGTTGTGACTCGGTTCCGAGTTTCGGTGATGTCCGATGACCGTGGGGCTTCACCCTGCCGACGAGTTTCAACCTTTTATTTAAGCCTTATGAGCATCCAAAAAGTGTTTACTTACATAAAGTAAGTACAGAGCCAAGTGGTGAATGGAAAATTTAAATTTTAAGGAAAATATCACAATTGGAAATGCAAAATGTAATGCATTAAGAGGGAATCGAACCCCCGGCGGGTCGAGCTTAACTCGAATGGCAACGACCCAGGTTACCACTACCCCATTAATGCGATGTGAGGAGCTTTCTATCATTCCTTCAGGAGCTGCCACCGAGCTTCGCATGAGAGGATTGCATCTGTCATTGGGTATCCGAGAACATGACTTCAATCCAAGCTCGCTGCTCGTCGGACAGTCATCCGGGGAGCAGCTCATTATGAATAACAATGTATTGTAGCAAAGTAAACCAGTACCAGACAAGGAAACATGTCGCCTAAGGCGGAATAAAAAAGGTATAAATGAAATGCAAGAGTCCACACGATTCGGGAACCAAGTGTCCATCTCCATCACTGGGCATCGTGTGTGTGTGTGTGAAAGTGGGTCCTTGAAGCGTCCGAGCAGAACTCAGAACACTCCCGCTGCAACGCCGAGAGTCGCGATGCTCGCAATGACAGTGCCAACGAGCCTACCCATGCCAACGGGGCTGGCGCCGCTAGTGAAGAAGGTTTCCGCGTCTCCCGGGGCGACGGTCTGGACGACAACTTGAGTGCTGATTCGAGAGGCGGTGCTACGAGCAGGGCGGCTAGCGTTGGCAGTTGGGGTGGGTCTAGCATCGTCGTCGTCTGGCTGAGCAATGTTGGCACGAGTGGCCTGAGGGGCGGGGTTCGCGCGAGTTGGGGTTGGGCTTGCGTCGTCAGTTTCCTCCTGGGTGGCAGCAGGGGCATCTGGTGCGTCATCAGCTGTGTCCGAGGGACTGGCAGAGTTGCTAGCGGGGGGAGATGGAGATGGAGATGGAGATGGAGACGGTGCGGCAGAAGGAGTTGGAGAAGGAGACGCGCGAGCTCAAGGGTATAACGAAATCAGCCAAGAGAACCGTTATGCAGAAACAGGAACACCCACCAGCGTCGCAAGTATCCATGAACCGGTAGTAAGCAGTGTTCCTCTCTGCAGCAGGGCATTCCGATGCAATGCATTGGGATGCGACGTCAACGAATTCCGGTTTGTTACAAGCGCAGTTAGAGTCGTTGCTGAAAATACAATTCAATGACGAGAGCTGTAAGAAACGTAAGCTTACTTACGCCCCGCAATCGTTGGCCGTCGCAGCGGCAGAAGTGCAATCTTGGCCACACTGGGGAAGATTGGTGAATTGCGCCGCGGCCAATTGCGAAAGAGCAAGACCAGCGAGGAGAACGCAGTTAAACAGGGAAAGTTTGGCCATTGTTGGAATGTTCGTTAGATTCGGAAGTAGATGTGAAGTTCAAGTAATGTGGGTCTGTTCCAATATGAGCTCGCTGTCTGGTGGATCCTGAAACTCGTTACTCACAGACGTTGAAAAGGAGGAGTACCGTTAGAAATGTAGAGAAAAGGTCGGGGAAGAAGTCAGGGGTGTAAAGACTGTGTGGGTGAATGAGTGTCGGTGCTCGTAGTACCGTCGAAACTTGAAAGTTTCGCGAGCGTTTCAGAAAGGTAGTCGAGAGGTTTGAGGGTGGAGTGAATAGAGAAAGAACAAGCCACGTCGAGCTGAATTATTCAAAATCGAAGCAATTGATGGAATCAATGTTTTGTTTTGCGGGGAGCCGTGGGTTGTCTTGACGATTGGGGAAAGTCTGGGCTTCAGTGGGCCGCACGGGCCCTGCTATTTCTAAGTAGGACTTAGATATTACACAATACTTTTAGTATATGTAATTACAGTTTCGTTTTAGTATATTTAGCATGGAATCAGGAAGTGCTGCGGCAGGCCTTTGCCACTTTCGTTGTTCAAGTTTACAACGAATGTGACAAGATTCATCCCTTACCTCAAATCCACTTCTATCTCCACTCACTAAGCACCAGACTCAAATCCAGAACTACGGTCGCGTCTTCAAAACTCGTTGGAAACGTGGCGATAAGCCCTAGGATAGGCGCTTGCGGCGAAGATGTCAACGCCAACAGAGAAATCTTTATGGGCTACCATTCCGGATTTTTTCCTCGACGAGACAGCACTTTTAGTTGCCTGGGTGCTCGCATCTGAGGCCGAGACCTCTTCTGCTCCCATAAAACCATTTTTTGACTTTGAAAAACTTAATCTTTACGAAGTGTTAGGAGTGGCGCAGGATGCTTCCAAGGACGAACTGAAGGTCGGTCTTTGTCTCACCCTATTCCCTTAGCCAGTGTATCTAATCGAATTAGAAAGCCTACCGTAAAATGGCCCTCCAGCATCATCCCGACAAAAATCCGAACGATTCAGAGCAGGCGCATGTTCGGTTTTCAAGAGTTCAAAAGGCTTTCGAGGTACTCTTCTTTGTTTCATCTTCCTTCTCTAGAGCTGAGATCTCAATGTAGACCCTCAATGACTCCAATGTAAGTGAATGTTTGAACAACACAATTGCCTTTCAATAATGGTTGGATCAGAGTCGATCTACGTACGACCATGATCTCGCGAATCCGCAGCCAGAACCCGAGCCCACTTATGCGCCAGAGGTCAAGAGTGACAAACCACCGCCTTTGATGATTTTACTCCTGGACGTCACGTTCTGGCTAACTATTACCTGCTTCGTCGTATTTCACGTCTTCAAATTTGTTGTAACGCTGGGCTCGAAGCTATTCCGATCCACGCCACCACCAAGGGGAATCAACCCGATATCAAGACTGGACCCATCCGTCTATACACAACAGAACCCCAAGCCATTCAGACATACCAGTGTATCCGTCCTCGATATCGCTATGTATGTAGGAGCGCTGCGCTTCATCGACCCACTGCGGGTTCCAGACGCCGTATGTGCTCATTCAGTCCGTAACCCATATTCCTCACGTTCCCCACAGGCACTTTTGCAGATAATATCGAACCCCTTCCAGTGCATTGCCTTCGACGAACTTTGCGTGAATGATCCCCACAAATCGGGGTTCGTGGCTCCCCACGTTGGGGGTCTCGACGACCCCTGGCCGGTGGTCGAGCTCTTCTATACCTTCTGGACGACCTTCCGAACGAACAAAGAGTTCTCTTGGGTATCTCCCTCGAAAGCGGATAGGAGGAGAGCAAAGGCTGACTATGAAAAAGCTGTTCAAGTACGTTAAGTTCAAAAATCGAATTTCTAGCTCTGTTAACGAGTCGTCGGCAGCTTCTGGCGGAAACCATGATGGTCCTGGACCCTAGATATCGGCGTTTCCACTTCAATGCAGACGGACCACGCGCAAGTTGCAACGGTAAGGGTAAAAACAAGCAAGATAATCAAAAAAAGCGGAAGCAACGCAGAAAACGATAGTATCATTGGTTCAAGCATCACCTTCGCTTGTTGTTCGCCGCACTTGCCAACTCAACTCCCAGTTATCGCAAAGTTAATTCCATACGAGTCATCTGCCAGTCAACCATCCATCATATCCAATTATTGTGAGCATGTATTTGCTCCATTTACTGTTCACTTCTGCCCGATCCTTCCCGATTCTTGTTGTTCATTCTTAGTTCCTAGTTACCTTGACGTTATTCTATCTAACACAATAATCAACCGTTTTTCCGTCCCTGCCACTTTTACTTCCCCATTTTATTGCCGAATTCCGGAATGTATCCCGAGTATTAACTCCATCCACTTCCCTTCCGCTCACTTTACATTTCTAAATTCTGTTCCGTCTCGTCCGTCGAATAATTTTTTCCTCGCGATCAATGCCTGATATCGGACTCCGCACATCAACCTAATCGCCTCCTGTGCAGCACCTCTGTGTACGACCAATTGTCTCGGTTGCCCCCTATACCTTGCGTATACCCTTCGGTAGGGTAGGCATACTTTCTGGTGTACCGGCGGGTGTCACGGGGGACATGTCGCTTCTACGGAAAAGGTGAAGCAATTGCTCAAACTTGTTGGTCCTCGCCCTTTTTAAGACCAGAGTCTCTCACGCCTTTCAAGTTCACTTCTGCCCCAACCGGGCCTGGCGGGGTGCAATACTGCCCTTGGCGGCTAGCCGGAGATATTTAAACAATGACTGCAATCAAGTCAGGCTCATAGCCCAATTGTGATTGGCGCCTTTCGAGACATTGATAGTATACCAAAATGCGTATCACGGATGCGCTGGCCATATACTTCCTTTTGACTTCATTAAGGTAGTTTGGGGCTATTGATCAAATAACTACGCGCCTCGACTCCACCTCCATCTCACAACCACAAGCATGTACTGCGACACAAGGCATGAATCGCCCCAACAGTTGATGACGGGGTGACATGAGCAGTATGGCAGCCTCGTGCGCACTCCGACAGGAGTTTACCTGCGTCCGTCCCAGATTCAAGGCTTCGCGTACCATACCAGCACTGTAAATCCGACTACTAAATCGAACATGGCGTGCATGGCGGGGCATAACAATCTTTGAAACTTAAAGCTTTGTGGATCAGGGCGAGCGCGTCACCGCTTTTACCGCTCACGGTCACCTGTAATTCCCGACGCGTTGAAACACCTCGGATGCTGTGTGGTAGAGCCAAGTTCTGTGATACCCCGCGACTAACAGAGGAGGGGGGAGTCTCTTGAGCTCGTATGTGATGTTGATCGCGTCGAATAAACTGAGAAACTCGGGAACAGGTTCCATGATACACACGATGTCATGCACGGTGGGACAGTTGCGCCATCGACTCAAGTACAATAAACTTGTATCTACATGAACATCGTAAAGTAACTGACAAAAGCGCTTGGTCATCATTTTATGCCTGCATGCGTGACTGAAAGAATAATTCCGTTGCGCCGGTGTGTGACTGAGCTCGCCACAAAGAGCTGACTGTATGTTATGTACTATGCATGACATCCCTCACACTCAGGCTGCAGCCAAGTAGCGCGCAAGTCGTTTTCGAAATACACTCATAGTCACCTAAGCCTAATTTGTCGTTCGCATGTATTATTTGAGATCCATCTGACTCGAGATCGTATGTAGGCCTCGTGAATGTCGTCTACGTACGACTCCGATTGTGTGTACTATCTTACGTTGGTCCAAGGCTATGCCTAAATCCGTTGTATCAGGAGCATCGTGGGTCAGCAAGGTTCTTTGGGTCTTGATATGTTTAGTCTGATATCATCAACCCTCGACCTCCCTTACCGATTTACCGATTTACCGATTGTC